ACATAGATGATTAAATAAAGATGTAAAGTTTGGTTATAGAGGTAATCATACCTTAAAGAGAGTTTTTTAATGTATGTAATATTGTAAACCAACCAATGTTGATCAATATCTAGGCTAAGAGAGATTTTTTGTTATAAAAGAGTTCAATATAAAGAGTTTACCCTTTATATGTTTATACAATGTCATATTATAACTGAGATGTTTCTGTATTAATACTATCTAGCACATTAGTAAATAACATATGTATATGTACATATATTATATTATAAATGACTCATTTTTACACTGGTTGACTGACTGGTTTGCTGTGTATTGGAGGCAAAATGGTATCCACCATCCCATATCACGGGTATTGCATGAGCGACGGACATGATTTTCCTGATAATAATTCAAAGTGTAATAAAAAACTGCATTTGCCAACCTATCTGCCAAGTGTGGCAACTATGGCAAATGTCTAACCAAAAAAAACCCTATGATGCAATATGGGGGAGAGCTATGTTCAGAAGTGGATGTTTGGTTGGAAAGGTTGTTAAGATGATGTTGATGATGACGCTGGTTAAATTTAAAAAATGTTTTTTCCCTTTAAAAGTAAATTGACGTAGGTTTTTTTATTAAATAAAAATAGGACATATTTTTAAACACATGAGTAATGAAGGTTTAGTAGAAATACACATGTATTTATTATATTATTGATTTAATCTTTTTAAAACAGTTTGGGTTATTTCCTTATTTATTATATTAAAAAATTTTCAAATTTTGCTACTAATTAACCACTCAGTATATTTTACTTTTACTGGTATATTCATAAAAATAAAATAAATATATATGTTTATCATTCATAGCCTTATTACCAGACAGTAAATTTTACAGAGGGTAAATTACATTATCCTATTTACGTATAATATTTAAATATAATATATGCATTAGGAAAATTAACAATGTGTCCATTCCAAACATCCAGTACAGCTAAACTTCTAGCTTTCATTGAATTTTCGTTGATTTGAGTGACATTATTCTGGTTAGGTCCCACCTGTTTATGTAAATGTATTTGTGCCTTAGATAATATACAATGATTCCGTCCAAACAATTGCTTATAAAGCTCCGGCCTTTATTAACCCTCCTATATTTAACTTTAATAAAATTTTGAATATGAAATATATTCTTAGATTAATGTTCTTAATTATATTTTAAATTATAATTTTTCATTTACGGATCTTATTAAAATATTATATTCATATTTACATTCTTTATGTCTAACAATTGACTGGTGAAAAATTTCATTATCTGCATAATTTCTGTTTAGAATAATTTACTTTTTTTTTTGCAATATTATGTTATCAACCCAAAATATGCAACCCACATTTAGTATGTTGCAGAAAAATACTTTCGATACTTATTGAATTTAGTAGTTTTCCTCACACATTTATAAAAATTTTTATGCCATTTTAAAACATTTTTAAAGACAAGTGTAACCGAAGATATTAAAAAAAACCTTTTATTAATTCATGTAATGTGCTTATTCATATTTATGTTCTTTTCTTAAAAATCATTAGAAAAATAATTACTATTTTTTTATATAGGACCCTAATATAATAATTACACTGGATTTTAAGGATATTTGAAATTTCTTTGATATGTTGTCAAAATTTTATACTTCATAAACTTGGACTATTTGGAATTTGTAGAAATATTTGAAATTTAAGACAGTTAAAAGATCATTCTAACTTTAGAGGAAGCATCCCAAATACTCAATATTATTAAATGAGTTTGTAGTTGTTGTTGTTATGGGCAGAATTCTTTCAAGACAAGAATAAAGAAAGTAGGTATTTTTAAAGGAATTTTAGAAAATCTATGAGAAAAGAGAGCAAATTCCAAACAGCCCGATAGTGGTAATTTTTGAAATAGCAGCTAAGTTATTGTACCGAATGTTTTAAAAATAAATCACTTCCTTTCTTAATTTTTGTATCTTTTAATTTTTTTATGTTTAGACCGACTACTAATAAAATTCTTGAAACATTAATTACTGTACTCGGAACTACTTTGGTACCTGATGAATAACCGGTTCTGATTTTTGTTAACAAAATCACTTTGGCTCCAACCTCTATACTAGCACTTGTCGAAGGGCACTAAAGTATATTCATTTTAAAGTTCCCTTAAAGTTTGTAATTTATACGTACATTTACAAGTAAATAAAACTAAAGTGTCTGTAATGTCAAAATAACAGCTTTTTACTAAGTGTTTATGAAAGTATAAGTACTGTACAATACAAATACAATGTTTTTTCTGTCTATCTGTTGTTCCGGTTAATCTCCGAAATACCTGGACCCGATTTTGACAGGACTTTCAGTGGCAGATAGTTGATGTTATGAAGAGTGACTTACTGGAGTGGCAACTTTTATTTTAGAAACAGAATTAAGGTTCCGTAAAAAAAATTTAACCTATAAAATTCAGTCGTAGTAGTAATTTTCCAATAGTAATTAAAAGTAGTACTTAATTGTCGCGGGAAACAGCTACTACTTCATAAAAGTACATTTTTATCAATAACCTTTTAAATGTTATAGATACATTATTTTAACAAATATTTTTAATATGACAAATATTTTCAAGATTTTTTTTTAAACTTTAGCTTAAAAGATCTGAAAGGTAGCAGTTTACGTCATATTATTGAGTAGTATTTACACAAAAGTTATTATAACGAACTTCGTCAGGGTTAATAAAGGTGCATCACATGGCGGTGTAAGTAAAAATGACAATTAACCAGAAACTTCGTAGACAGAGAAACCTATAGAAAAATTGACGCCTTCTTTCGCATTCGCACACGAAAAAGACAGATTTATGCATACGTCTTGCATATAAATGAGACAGAGCGGTGTGATTCTTTGTCCCTTTCTCCGTGCCGGTTTTTTGTTTAGCAAACTACACTTTGCTAAACAACTGACAGTTCTTAGCGATCTAAGGAGTTTACAAGTTGGTTAATGACAAAGGTGTTTTGTGAGCTTAAGATTGGTGAATCTTGTTCAGTTCAGTTCTTATAACAATTAAAATGTTTATATAAATATGTTTAAAAGTCATAAAGATTATTGTATAACCTAAAACTACGTTATCGTTCTTTCTCACTCGAGGCCACGCTAATCATTAGTCTATAGGTTTCTCTGTCTACGGAAATTTGCTTATAAGTAATTCACTGACCTCTATATATACATACTTGTATATATAGTGGTCAGTGGAGTAAATACATACATACGTAATTAGCTTATGAAAATTTATTAATTTGACTTTGTCATTCATATTTTGGTTTTGCGGGCTTGGGCTACACATAAGTAAATTCTGTTCTTATCACGTTAACCTATTTCAAATACACCGGAGTTTAACTTATACTGGTAATATAATGGCGCAAAGTGATAACAATTAAGCACCCGTTGATGTCTTTTTGAAATGTCCCTTTCACTCATTACGTAAATTAAGGTAGTTGTCTTTATCTAACGACACCACGTGTATCGATAGTGTTGTGATTTATAAGTCGATATTTGTTTGGTCATCGTTTACATTTTTTTGTAGTCATTATTTTATAAAAATAGTGGCGTATAAATTAGGTACCTATATGTTATAGGTTTCCTAAATGCTCCTAAAGGAAAAAGATGTGGACTGACGCAACTTGTCGAGGGGACCAATGTTTTCCTACCAAAAATAGTGTGCTATATTCAAGACACTTCACAGAAGACAATCTTCATATTATGAAAAACCATATTCACATGCCTACCTATACTGCATCTCAATTGTAAGTAGGAAGCTAGAAGATAACAACATGCCTGTTTATTTTTTCCACTAAAAGGGAAAATTTTTAAAAAAAAAAACCCCCCTCAGAATATGCAGTATTACTCAAATACTGCTTCACATCTGGCTATCTATTCTGGAAGGAAGAGTTCTTCAAGCAAGTAGATGGTGTGGCGATGGACTCACTTGTATCTCCTATAATCGTCGTATATTAATGGAGGACTTTGAGGAGAAAGTCCTCCTTACTGCTAATGTAAATCCAAAGTTCTACAAGCGGTACGTAGACGACACCTTCAAAATTTTACCATCTGACTAAGCATATGCATTTTTGGACCACCTTAACTCCATTAACTTTAAAATACAATTCACAATGGTGTTAGAGGTAAATTTTTTAGCTTTCCTAGATGTTTTAGTCATCCGAAATCCTGATAACATTATTGGTCATACGGTGTATAGGAAAAAGACCATCACCAACCAATATTTAAATGGTGAATCTCACCATCATTCTTCGCAGTTAGCTACGGTGGATAAATCTTCGTTTCAGAGAGCACAAATGATCTGTGACAGAGAACATCTGGCCGCCGTGCTTTCAGCACGTCAAGCAAGTGTTGCAAGACAACAAGCTACGGATCCCGCGCCTACGTCACAGTGATCGAGTGAAGTCGGCTACACTTGATGGATGGGTGCTACCATCTGCTTGGGATCCTATAATTAACAAATTAAACCCAAACCAAAAATCAAAAATCTATAAATCATAGAACTCCACAAAGCCATTTTAGGCAGATAGATGACGATTTTGCAGGGAAATTGCAATCAAGGCAATGAAAGATTTGGAAATATAAGCGGACGTCAGTGCACAGCTATGACTGCTACAACTATCGCTAATTTTAAAGTACAGTCCTCATATCAATCTCACAGTGGAACACGCTTGATATAGACCGTGTCCTCTTACTTGGAAATACATATTTCATTCAGTGTCTGTCACGTTTACCCAATATGCCACAATACTTGAATACTGAAGATCTTTTGCCTTCGATGTGTTTTGCTGGGACAGAGTCGAATTTATATATTCCACCTGATGTAACAACTATTGGTATAATAAATTCAAGCGCATCTTTTGCTATAATACAAGGTTTTTTCAATGGACTGATTGCGGGATTATAAAGGTTTTTATAACACATTGTAACGGAATTGTTACCTCTGAAGCGCAGATTTCAGTTGCAGTGATGCATTTAAACGACGAATACTTTTCATTCGATTCTCATGTTCGTGAGCCAAAAGAATATACTGCAAATAGAAACGGAACAGCAATTGTCATGAAGTTCAGAAGCAATGAAAGTCGGTGCAATCACCTGAAAATAGTTTTGGGAGTGCTAAACCAACGAAATTTGCAATATTCTATTACTGCTGTTAACGCAACTACAGCAGAAAGAGAGTCTATTAAACTACTTAGTAATGTATCCAATACTAACATTTCAGAAACTGATTTCGACGGGAACATTCACGAAGGTCAAGTAGTTACTAAATCTCTTGTACCAATCGATTCAGCAATACCATCTTGTGAGTAAAGTGTTATGTAATGAAGGTATAGATAACGTAACTGTATCTATTTATAATTTGAAAAGGAAGACTACGCCGCCTGTCAACTGCTTGTTTGGGTGAAGTTATTCCCAGAAGGAAAGAACGGTCTTAAAGAAAACAGACTAGATTATATTACGCCTCTTGATTACTACAAAACTAAAATAATGAACAAAGAAAAAAGATTTCAGAATAACGAATACCTATTTTATGCACTTTTAGTTGTAGAGCTTTATAAAACCCAGCAAAATGTATGTTTGTACGAACCTGCGTCAGAATGGTGCACAGCCAAACGATTTCGCACAAAACGTTCATTTAATGATGCAAAATATTCGGGGTACTTCGTAATATTGGCAAAAAGCTTATAGAGACCTAGCAATGGTCAAAAACCTGGGGCCTCCACACTGGTATTTAACATTCTCGTGTAACGACTTGAATTGGCCCGATATCTTAAAAGCCCTTTTAGTGGCCGATAGCCAACCTAATGATTCTGTAGATGAGCTTTCGTTTTCAGAGAAACTTCGTTTGGTTGAACAATACCCAATTACTCTGTCAAGGCAGTTTATGATACGCATAAACGCTTTGTTCAAACGACTCAAAGAGAAAGAAAATCCTTTGCTTATAAGATGTGTTGCAGACTTTTGGTGGCGAGTGGAATTCCAACTCCGCGGCAGCCCTCATGTGCATATGGTCGTGTTGAGTTAGCATATGCCTACCTTTGACACTCCACAAGGCATAGAACTACTAGAAAAAGTAGTCATCTGGGCAGTACCAAACCCGGGGCATGATAAAGAAATGCATGATTTAGTCACAAAAATGCAAACCCACAGACACACCCACATATGCTACAAAAGGGACACAATATGTAGATTTGATTTTCCGAAACCAGTTTCTAGTGAAACAAGACTTTTAGATGACGAACAAACCGCTAAAAATAAAGGACGGAAGGCAAAAACAAACATAGAAAAATATCAAATATTAACGACCAAATGAAATGTCAAACACCCGAATCAATGCCAGAACCAAAAGCAACCATTAACAAACACAGATCATAGATTAATCGCGTTCTATAATCTGTCAAAACAAACACTGGATCATGGAGGTTAAAGAACAGGAGAAAGATCACTACGTACTAAAGCATAGCCCACCTGTCCTTGAAAATTGTAGAATTTATAGCGACGCTGACGTCGGTGAGTAGTGACTGCGAAGTTAGCTGTTTATGAGTACAAGTAGATGAAGTTAGTTGAATAATGTACACATTTTCTTCGCGGCTTTGGTGAAAAAATTTTGTAATTTTTGACTAAAAGGAACATTAAATTTATTGTATATAATAATTATACAGATTAGCATCTGATCGGAAAAAAGACTGAAAATGACTTGTTGAGCGAACTTAGCGATCGCAGCGCCTCACTCATGGTGTCCATATTTCTGGGACACTATTTTCTACGGCGATCGTTCTCCTGTTCTCTAACCTCCACGCACTGGATGATGCAACAATTAGGGTTTTAACCAAGGTCATAATTTTGCTATAACACCATGCAGATTACCGTACGAAGAAATTATCTGTAGTGTGTTTATTTATAAAGGAAAGTTTTATATTTTAAAAAGAAAGGATTCTGAGACCATGATTAATGCATACAATCCAGATATATTGAAAATAGGTTTTCTAATATAGATATCCAACCATGTGGATCAGCCCTCGCAATTACATACTATATATTTAGATATATATCCAAGTCAGAGCCTGCAGAAATCACAAGATCCATAAGAGAAGCCATTCGACGTCTACGAGAGCAAGGTGGCGATATTAAAAAGCAGATATTTGCAATACAAAATGCCATTTTAACACATCGAGATGTTTCGGCATGTGAATTTGCCTTCCACTTTGCCATCCCAAATTAAAGGACAGCTCACGAAAATGTGTTTTTGTCAATTCTTGTTTTCGAACGAATCTTTATAGAATGCTCAGGATTGACAATAATGTTTCGGAACCGTATAAAAATATTTTTGATAGATATGTATTTGATTGTAGGCCTCGCCATCTAGCACACCTTAGCTTAGGAGACTTTGTCATTTGGTATGACATGGACGTGGCTTCGCAGTGGAATGACATTGACGGTGACGAACAATATATGGATGCATATGAAATGGTAATAATGTGTGATAAAAAAAAAAAAAAAAAAACTGCGGTTGCCAACCCGCTCGCCAAGCGTGGCTACTATAGCAATATACCCCCCCCATGAACAATTACACAAATAGACGGCCCCCAGTCCCCGGCGGCCCCGCTATTCCTGGCTACGGTGGCGACTATGGTAACGGCGGGGCAGGGGGTGCTAAGAATCTCCGGTGGAGGTTCGGTTGCCATCTACGACGACTCGACCTGGCAACATTTAACGCACGCACACTGAGGACTGACGAGAAGATCCTGGAGCTGGAAGTAGAGATAGACAAGTTGCGCTGGTGTATTATAGGATTATCCGAGGTCCGAAGAGAGGGGGAGGACACGGTGATTCTCGAATCCGGCAACTTGTTCTATCACCGGGAGGGCGACCATCTGTCCCAAGGAGGTGTTGGGTTTATTGTCCACAAGTCTCTCTTTAACAACGTTGTACAGATTGTGAGTGTGTCGACGAGGGTCGCGTACCTGATACTCAGAATCACCAAACGGTATTCGCTGAAGGTCATACAGGTTTACGCACCAACCTCGGCACATCCCGATGAGGAGGTAGAGGAAATGTATGAGGATATTTCCAAAGCCATGCATTCCTCCAAAACCCACTACACGGTGTTGATGGGAGACTTCAACGCAAAACTAGGCACAAGAGAAAGCGGTGAGCTGAATTTAGGGAAATTTGGAGTAGGGCAACGGAACCGAAGGGACTCTTTATGATGAACTCTTTCTTCCAGAAGCGGCCCCACAGGAAGTGGACCTGGTCGAGCCCCGACGGTTCGACAAAAAATGAGATTGACTTCATTATGACGACCAGACGCCAACTGTTCAGTGATGTCTCAGTGATCGCAAGGGTGAAAACTGGCAGCGATCACCGAATGGTTAGAGGCACACTGAACCTAAACGTTAAGTTGGAGAGGTTTCGTCTAATGAAATCAACGCTCCGTCCCCCTCGTGCTCTAATCCAGAATCCCGAAAACTTTCAGCTCGAGTTACACAACCGCTTTCAGTGCCTACAAGATTGCAATGCAGTGGACGATATGAATGACAAGCTCGTGGAAACTGTCCATGCGGTCGGAGCTAAGTTCTGCAAGACCCACCGCAGAAGAACACAAAAACTCTCCGATCACACTCTTAATCTCATGGCTGTTGACGGGAGATGAGGCTGCAATCGTCAACAGATTTGACAGCATACAGGCAACTGAACAGACAGATCTCCAAATGCATGCGGCGAGACTTACGCAACTTTAATACTGCTCGTATTAAAGAAGCGATCGAGCGGAACCAGGGCTCCAAAGTCTTTGCCAGAGATCTATCTGCCAGAAAGAGCCAACTGTCAAAGCTGAAGACTGAATGTGGCAGCATCGTTTCCGGGACACCTGAGATGTTGAGTGAGATTGAGAGGTTCTATGGGCAGCTGTACACATCATCGTTGGAGCCACACGCAAGTGTGAGTAACGATCCAAGAGCAAGTCTTATCCGACACTATTCCGATGATATCCCGGACGTCAGTCTAAGCGAGATTAGAATGGCTCTCCAGCACCTTAAAAACGGCAGGGCCCCAGGCGAGGATGGAATTACAGCGGAGCTTCTGAAAGCGGGTGGAACACCGGTACTTGAAGTCCTTCAGAAGCTCTTCAATTCCGTCCTCCATGGTGGCACTACTCCAGAGGCGTGGAGGAGAAGTGCGGTGGTCTTGTTCTTTAAGAAAGGCGACAACGCTCTCTTGAAGAACTACAGACCGATTTCCCTTCTGAGCCGCGTCTACGTGCTGTTTTCGAGAGTCATTACGAATCGTCTCGCACGCAGACCCGACGACTTCCAGCCTCCCGAACAAGCCGGTTTCCGAAAAGGCTTCAGTACCATAGACCACATACATACCCTGCGGCAGATTGTACAGAAGACTGAAGAGTACAATTTGCCACTTTGCCTGGCGTATGTGGACTATGAGAAAGCCTTTGATTCCGTCGAAATTTGGGCGGTGCTGCAGTCCCTTCAGGGGTGCCAAGTTGACTGTCGGTATATTGAAGTGCTGAAGTGTTTGTACAGTAGGGCTACGATGGCTATCCGAGTACAGAACCAGAGTTTGAAACCTATCCAACTGCAGAGAGGTGTAAGACAGGGTGACGTTATATCCCCGAAACTCTTCACCGCTGCGTTGGAAGACGTTTTCAAGCTACTGGACTGGAAAGGATACGGTATTAACATCAATGGCGAGTACATCACTCACCTTCGATTTGCCGACGATATAGTCCTTATGGCAGAATCGCTGGAGGACTTAAGCACTATGCTCAATGACCTCAATAGTGCCTCCCAACGGATAGGTCTTAAGATGAACATGGACAAAACAAAGATCATGTTTAATGTCCACGTCACACCTGTATGACGGTAGTTGTTGGGAGCACTATGCTCGAAGTTGTTGACGAGTATGTTTACCTGGGACGAATAGTCCGACTAGGTAAGTCCAACTTCGACCGAGAGGTCAATCGACGGATTCAACTCGGCTAGGCAGCGTTCGGGAAATTACAACATATCTTCTCGTCAGGTATACCTCAATCTCTAAAAACTAAATTGTACAACCAGTGCGTGTTGCCAGTGATGACTTACGGATCTGAGACGTGGTCCTTCACTGCTGGCCGTATGAGGACGCTCAAGGTCGCTCAGCGAGCTATGGAGAGGGCTATGCTCGGAGTTTCTCTGCGTGATAGACTCAGAAATGAGGATATCCGCAGTAAAACCAGAGTGACCGACATAGCCCAACGGATTAGTAAGCTGAAGTGGCAATGGGCCGGCCATATAGCTCGAAGAACCGATAACCGATGGGGAAGAAAGGTTCTCGAGTGGCAGCCTCGTACCGGTAGGCGTAGTGTAGGGCGACCCCCCACTAGATGGAGTGACGACCTGGTAAGATATGCAGGAAGTCGATGGATGCAGGTGGCTCGGGACCGTGCTTTGTGGCATTACTTGGGGGAGGCCTATGTTCAGCAGTGGACTTGTGAAGGGCTGTAATGATGATGATGATGATATGAAATGGAACAAGACAATACAAACAATCGACAATAGAACATAACATTACTGGATAACGCAGGCCGAATGATAAAAACGAAAACGTCCAGCCATTTTGCGCACACGTAATTTTACGCTAGCATGAACCCGACAGCCTATTACTATTCTCTATTGGTAGCTCACGTTCCATTCAGAGTTGAAAATGAATTGATGGACGGCTTTCATGATGCGAAAAATGCTTTTTATGCAAATCGAAGCCAATTACGACCTCTAAAAGAAGGCACTGATTTGGACCAAAATTTAAATATTGATCCCATAGAATGTGTGGTTGGTGAAGACGAGCACATCGAAGCACGTGCAGCAGTGACAACTTTTTAATAAAGTTGCGAATAAATTGCTTCACAATGATATAGTTGAGCCTTTGCATGTATTCGTAACAGGTAGTGCCGGAAGTGGCAAAACCTTCATATTAAGGTTACTTGTTGAACAAATAAGTCGTCTAGCGCACGACAATTACGGAAAAAGTGTAATTGTCACTGCACCCACTGATGTAGCAGCTACACTTATTGAGGGTAGCACTTTACACGCGACTTTTGCATTACCGATAGAAAAGGGTAGAATGGAAGCTTTGAGACCGATGGCTGGAAAGAGACTTCAACAGAACGTCAAAAGTGGCGTCATGTACATGAGATGACATTATTGATGAGATATCGATGGTGCCATATTTAACTCTCCGAAATGTTTACTTGAGACTACAACATGTACCTATAAAGAAAATAACGATGTTTTCGGTGAAGTCAATGTTCTTCTTTTTGAGATCTAATGTAATTACCCCCGGTATCGAAAGTTGCTGGAGGATCTTATTGCTTTCGTCAGCCACGGATATTGTTCGCTGAAATTAATTTGTGGCAATTATTCAGTTTCTGCGAATTACTTCAAAATATGAGACAAGCTGGAGATACCACTTTTGTAGATGTATTGAATAGTCTTTGAGTTGGAGAATTGACAATTCTGCAGTTATCCGTAATAGACAGCCAAGAGTACCATTGACAGGAGCATTCGGTTACAAAGAAGTCGTTAAAATTTTTCCTACAACTAAGCTTGTGGAAAATTATAACTCCACCATAACTGAAGACCTAGAAAACGCACTAAAATGTTTCAGATTAATGCAGTAGCTATCTCACTGGACCCTAAAACATACGGCCAAATTCCGAAAAAAGAATATGTATAGGACGATCCCAATAAAACAGGGGGTATAACAAACATGATAAAACTTGGCAATGGATCACGAGCAATGTTAAGGCGCAACATTAATGTTAATCGTGGACTAGTCAATGGTGCTATGGGGGTGATGCGTAACATAGAATGGCCGGCTTTACGCTGAGACCAGTTGGAAGTGGTAGAACTGCTTCAAGTTGTATTTCTTGAGTTTAATAACTCTAGTATAACTGGCAACCGACCCGGCATTGGTGTCCGCATTGAGCTTAGTTCTACTGAATTTGATGCTTTACGTGGTAAAGGAAAGATCGAGCGACGTATGCTTCCACTAATTTTGAGCTGGGCAGTGACAGTATATAAATTACAGGGAACAACTTTAGACCAGGCTGTTGTTGATTTAAACAATAATCTTTTCGCTAAATGTCAAGCTTACGTCGCTTTGAGCCAAGTTAGATTATTCTCAGGTCTAGCGATTAGTTCGCTAGATCCTAGAAAGTTACTACATCAACCAGACGATCAAAATTCTCTTGAAGAATTGAACCGCTTAAGTAAATTGTAATTTTCATTTATCTGTTTTCTTTTGGCATGCCATCTATCTCTCTTCGTTAATCGTTAGCAGCAGCTGATTTAGACATGAGGCCACGAGGCCTGGCCTAAATCCGCGTGTTATGAGGAGTTGCGGCGAAATTTGTAAAACCGATTAATTCAAAAGCGTTGCAACATTTAAAAAGCGTGACAGAGCGATGCTGCAACGTGTTTACGAGATGTAAGTAAATGTCTTGGCTTACAGCATCCACTTACCATCACGTGGATTGTGTGCTCTTTTGTCACCTTTATACATACATAATAAATAAACACTCACGCCAGTCACTCAGAGTGGTAGGCAGAGACTACAGACTTCCATTTTTCACGACCCTGACAGACTTCTCTCGCCTCCTTTACATTAAGAGTACCTGCATGTATGCGTAGATATACCTACGTACCCAGGTACTCTTAATTTGGGCTATCTGCAATATTACATCCCCAATTCGGTCGATAAACTTTCGTCTAGGGCGTCGCTTGCTGACTGCCGTTCACTTCTGCAACATAAATTTGCTATGACATTCTTTTGAAGCAAAAAAAGACACCCATATTCTTTATATTAAAAAAAAGATCATACCATTCATGAGACGAGGTTGAGTGAGTATAATATGCTTTATTTACAGCGCCTCTGTGGGACAAACAAAAATCTACAAAGGGCATGCCAAAAGAAGTTAGACACTGTTTACTCATTTGTTTGACAATATCAAGGTATGCTCGGGCGCCATCTCAAAGGCTTAATAATCTATACAAACGTATAAATAAAATTGAAGTGTATGTCTGAAATATTGTTTACAATCCAGTTATTTAACAAATTTCTGTTAAGATCAGGGTGTTATTAGTATGTTATTAAGACTTGAATGATCATTAAAAAAAAATCTGTTATCGTTCAGCGTTTGTCTATTTTTCCGGGCTCATCTTTGGAATGGCTGAACCGATGGCTAATCTTCAGATTGCCTAAATAGTAATACGAAACGGTAGAGCAATGCACAGATAGATTTTTTGTGAATCGATAAACTGATACAATGAATGATTTTCATGATTATTTCATAAACTATATGATAGGTATATAAAAAGTTTCGAACAAAGTTTTTATGTTTTTAAATTTAACACAAAGAAGGTTCTTACACTTTATCTTGTATCTGTTATTGTTTTGATGCGGAATCGATTTGTTACTTTTTTATTTCAAAACCGCTTCATAACACAAATAGTATTAAAGGTTGAGGTGATAAGAATTTTTTACGTAAAAATAATAAATCTTTAATTTATATATACTACAAATATTTTAAAGTTTTTCCATCTCGTTCATAGTATTTGGAAAGATAGCGAAAAAACGATTTTAAAGTAGTTTTTCGATAATGTAACTACTTGGCCAAAGTTCTACGTGGATCTATGAAGTCGGGGGTAAAGCTAGTTATTTTAAAATTGAACATATAATATCATGTAAAATATTTTTATTTGGAAAGTGCTTTTTTGTCGGAATCTGAAGGGGATCCGCTGGCTTTGTTACAGCCTACCATAAGTCTGCCATGCAATTCATATTGGGATACATTATGTCATGCAATCCGCCATGCAATTTATATTGGGATATATTATGTAATGGTTGCTACTCTCGCCGGGCGTTTTTTTAACCATATACAGTTTTTTTGTTGCAATTGATTAGGAAGACGCTCGTGACGCTCCTTCCTATCCTTTAATTTGTTACCCTCTGTCGCCTCTTACAACATGGGACAATATGGTGTAGTAAATATTCTTACACTGCCACTTCACGGTCATTTCATCTTTGCCCGCCATTCGTTCACAGCATTGGAACTCAGTCGAAGTGATTTCCTTGCTATGATTTACTATGATTATAATTAATGTTTAAAGACGACCAAAGATGTTTTGAACTGTTGGTTACGGCTTAGGAAGTAACGAGTAACAGTTTTATTCGGTTTGCTGAATTAAAAAAGAACGGGGAACCTTTGGAGATAAAGCGTCAATTTACCAACTGCAATAGGCGTTTTGACACTCGAGAAATTCTTGTGCAGCAAATTTATTTTAAGCGAAAATATGATATTAAACAGCAACAATGCATACCATCGTTTTAATCACTACCAACTTTCTCTCAGCTTTTTTCAAAACATTCAGAAACGAATGGCTACGCCATTTTTCCGTAACTGTAGTAATATTACTACTGTTCTGCTAAAAGATCATTATCATCATCATCAAAGTCCACTGATAAAATAAGCCACATCTTATGTTTATCAAACCAGGTAACCTGTGGAGAACCATAGGTTGCCTCATATTTTATACTGCTATTTTAAGTTTGTATTCTGCGCGAACGTGGTTCTTCCTTAATCGAGTCAACCCATTCGTACTGCATACATTATATATAGCTGGCTCTAACTTCAAAGACTCGTTTATGAAATAAAATATCAAAAAAAAATCATTTAAAATATGATCTACCTGTATCATGGTGACATTTTACATACCTACCTTACGTTCATTGACGTTAGTCTGGATCTTACTTGGTTCGGGTGTGGGTGGGTTAGTATTTCTGAAGAAAGAAATCAATACTGTGATAAAGTGAATTAATAACGTAGAAGTTTACTAGCAATTTAATAAGTTAAAAATACTTACTAGCAAGGTTATTGAGTATTAACATTACTGATATCACATGTAACAAATCTCAGTAAGTTTAAAATGCGCGTGTTAGGATTAAATCACGTTAGTCGTTCCACGGCTGATTGGAACCCACGAATTTTTGAGTTCGCGGTCAGCAGACTACTGTCACTTAGAAGTGAGTAGCAGACTCGGCAAAGGATCATCATCATCATCATCATCATTACAGCCCTTCACAAGTCCACTGCTGAACATAGGCCTCCCCCAAGTAATGCCACAAAGCACGGTCCTGAGCCACCTGCATCCATCGACTTCCTGCATGTCTTACCAGGTCGTCACTCCATCTAGTGGGGGGTCGCCCTACACTACGCCTACCGGTACGAGGCTGCCACTCGAGAACCTTTCTTCCCCATCGGTTATCGGTTCTTCGAGCTATATGGCCGGCCCATTGCCACTTCAGCTTACTAATCCGTTGGGCTATGTCGGTCACTCTGGTTTTACTGCGGATATCCTCATTTCTGAGTCTATCACGCAGAGAAACTCCGAGCATAGCCCTCTCCATAGCTCGCTGAGCGACCTTAAGCGTCCTCATACGGCCAGCAGTGAAGGACCACGTCTCAGATCCGTAAGTCATCACTGGCAACACGCACTGGTTGTACAATCTAGTTTTTAGAGATTGAGGTATACCTGACGAAAAGATATGCCGTAATTTCCCGAACGCTGCCCAGCCGAGTTGAATCCGTCGATTGACCTCTCGGTCGAAGTTGGACTTACCTAGTCGGACTATTTGTCCCAGGTAAACGTATTCGTCAACAACTTCGAGCATAGTGCTCCCAACAACTACCGGCATAGGTGTGACATGGACATTGAACATGATCTTTGTTTTGTCCATGTTCATCTTAAGACCTATCCGTTGGGAGGCACTATTGAGGTCATTGAGCATAGTGCTTAAGTCCTCCAGCGATTCTGCCATAAGGACTATATCGTCGGCAAATCGAAGGTGAGTGATGTACTCGCCATTGATGTCAATACCGTATCCTTTCCAGTCCAGTAGCTTGAAAACGTCTTCCAATGCAGCGGTGAAGAGTTTCGGGGATATAACGTCACCCTGTCTTACACCTCTCTGCAGTTGGATAGGTTTCGAGCTCTGGTTCTGTACTCGGATAGCCATCGTAGCCCTACTGTACAAACACTTCAGCACTTCGATATACCGACAGTCAACTTGGCACCGCTGAAGGGACTGTAGCACCGCCCAAATTTCGACGGAATCAAAGGCTTTCTCATAGTCCACAT